TATAGTGCTCAGCACTACAAAGATGCACAAGCGCCATCGTCAGAAGCGGAGAGAAACAACCTAAAAGCCTTGGGCTTCTCAGCAAGGCGAGCACGATCATGCTGGCCGTCGCGCGTCGTGCTTTCGACTCATTGTAACATCAAGCGTTACAATGAGTCGAAGCGCTACAATGAGTCGAAAACACGACGCGCGACGGCCAGCATGATCGTGCTCGCCTTGCTGAGAAGCCCAAGTTGAGCTGGCAGAGGCACTGCAGCAGCGATGGGAGTCCGCTTTTACCTGATGGTATTCGATAAACCCAGTTGTCAAACAAATTTTTGAATTTTTCTTACAAATGCAAAGCATTTAGGCTTGCTTTTTTGAGCTTCATCCAAGCGATCGGGGAGCACTAGCACTTGCAAGGGCGAAGCCGTCCTCTTAGCTGCACCCGTGATCAGGAGACCTAAATAAAATGCTCCATGCGCCATTGACTTTCCTGCTTAATACGTTGTACTACAGAAGTAAATTCAGGGGAAGCAGATTTTTTGGTGCGGAGTGCTACCTGTGAATGCATGTGGTGCACACACTGACGCAGCCCCAAAATGTGTTTCGAAAACCGTTGTCACACAGCCCGACAATAGCTGCATAGTAAACACAGCAAGCAGATGCACATTCTGATATGAAAAGGAGGAAAGGTCAGCTTGTTCAGGATAAGATATCGCATGACAGAAGCACAGAAAACCAGAAGACTCGGTAACTCACAAGCGCGCACGAATTATTGAAGAAGACCCAGTTGCCTTTGATATACCCAATCCATGGAGAATTCCTAACTAGGTTGTCTTGTATAGAAGCATGAGAAGCCACATTTGTTTAGCTAGCCATAGTAACGCCAAAAATTCGCTGTGTTTTCCGAAAAGCGTGCTGATGGCAGTAACACTAAATCTTCAAGCCTTCTTCGTACGGGTTAGCTTGGAAAATTTTCGTTCCCTTTTGCACTTTACATGAAACTTACGTTCCAGGAAATGGCTCTTGAAGATTTTAGAGATAAGGCGCTGCAACTGCACACGACTCGGCAAGATAGAGTTCGATTGGAACGCTTTATTAAGGAGAAAAAATCTGCATCGGAGTGGCACACTAATTGGTCTTTTCTTATGGACACATATGAAGATAGCGCGAGTAACCGGAAAGCGGAAAAAAAGCAAACACGCACTTAAGCCCCAAAATTAGAGTCCCCTTCGCACGGCAAACAACCCTTTAGTCCGGCCTCGAAGTCCTACCCCAAGGAGCTTAGGATGTGTGCTTGTTTTCTTAGAACCAATTACGACCACATATTCAACTGCGCTTGGAAAAACCACGAAAAATGAAGTGCAGCAGTGCTGCTTGCAGGCAAAAAAAACACTTTTCCTATGGTCAAAACAGGTGAAGTCAAACCTCTGCACCGTTCATTAGAATGAGCCTCTGCTGAATTTGTTTGTGAGGCAGACTATCATGAAAGATGGCCTTAAATTCGTGGAGAAGAACTACCCTGGAGGGGTGAAACAATGGACAGCCAGCGTCCAGCAAATGGTGCCGACCGACAAATATAGAGCCCCATTGACCACAGCGCAAGAGATAGGCTGGGTGTCAGCAGACCCTACAGTCAGATGTCAAGAATTTCACCTTTCACGAGAACAGTGAAAGATGTTTAGAGGGGCATTCATGTTCTTATTCAGAAACTTAAAGTGCTACATGTAACTAAGTGCCTGTTGTGCTGTTGTGCAAACCACTATTATGGGCACCGTCTTTGCTGTCCTTTTCAGCTCTGCAAAAATTGACTCTCTTAACTGAAAAACGATGACGAAGAATGATTGAGCGAGTTAGTCTTCTGATGGCATGAATTTCTAGCTAAATGCGCTTTTGCTCTGTAAGAGTTTTGCGAGCACTTCCCACTCAACTGCTAATTTTTTTTGTATTCCTTGCACCAATCTAATGGCTTGGAGAGATAGCGCGTTTTCTTGCCTAGCGTAGTAACAACTACAGTGCCTCACTGGACCGACCAAAACAAGTCCTTCTATTCCCTGCATCGTTTGGCTTTGAGTTTGAGAAAAGCGAGCTCAACGCAATCAGTGGGAGTTCCCATCTCCGTTTAACTGCCGCTCGGTTCTTAAAGAACCACCGTTGCTTCCTTGAGGGACAGCCCTTTCCACTTGATCGGTACCAAAACTTTGAACGCTTTCTGTGCATCAGGCTTGCTTTGAGAAGTGCCTGGATTGCTGTGAATAATTTTGTGAGAATCAGCGCCGAATATATCGCTGGCCTTCCCGAGTGAGTGCGGCACACTGCCAAACTGACAAGCCAGCAGATTAATTTTATTCCTAAGCCTTATGCATTAGTACATATGTCAGTGGTGTATGCGCAAGATGTCGGTGAATCAGTAGAGAGCCGCCTACTAACTGTGGTGCGCAGCGTCTACTGCTGCGACTACGCTGCTTCCTGCCCCTCGAGCAGGCCTACAAACTACGCCTAGCGTAGGCCCATTTCTCGGACACAGTAGCTTACTTTCACCGAAATACAACAATTCTTAAGTGTTTCAAATCTGTCTGTTCGATTCTCCCCACTCTGGGAGCTCGCCTCCTAGGCCTTAGGGGAGGAGGCCCGCACTGGTGCCGGCGCTATCGCCAGCCCCAGTCTCCACACAATTTCCACACATTTCACGTATTCATTAGAACTAATAGACAGTTTTTCTTACTTTCATCCTATTCGGAGGGTCCTGTCCTCCTCCAGTGTTGCGACCCCTTGTAGGTCGCTAGCTAGCTATCGTCTCTAGGACACTAGCCAGCTCCATTGTAGTGCCTGTGCACTACACTAACCATACGGCAGGAGAGCTGGTTTCGTGATGCTAAAGAGCCGCCTACTAACCCTACGGCACGAGATGTGGTTTCGAGATACTTTCTGCGTTTCAGCAGCCTGTTTAGGGTGCTTGAGTTTTAACTTTTCGGACTATTAACATTTTCTTGAGCTATATGCTTTTACACAATTGTTACGTAAGAGTGTTTCTTGATAAGCTCGACATTTTCGAGCAGTTTCTTTGTCTTTTTCAACCTGTTGAAGATGATAGCTCTTACCTGTGCAGTCTGCGGACCAACTACTTACCTTTGTCCTCTTAGAAATGCTGCCTGCTGCATTGCGCTCCTTTGATTCAGAGGGTGTCTGTGGCTTGTGGAACGCAGTAATGCAGTCTCTGGTATTGCCTACATGGTATTGGCCTTTGTCAAAACGGTGCGCACCAGTGTTTAATGAGGTATCTTTCTGTCTCAAGGCACCTAGCAACAACAGGCCTATATCGCGTAGGGTTTAATCCCATATCGTTGGAACAGATCTCGAAGAGGCACAGGGTAACTTTCACAGGGTCAGCACCATCGTGATTCTGGCGAGCGTGGTGTGGCTCGTGCGTTCGCTCTAATTGCTTCGGCATTTCGAACAGGCGTTTCCCTTCAGCGTTTGTGTCAGTTAACTGGCTGTAAAACATTAGGAGCTGATATACTACTTCCCGGCGCTGAGGGAGAGACAGTGTGGCTCATCCTTATTGAATATCTATAGAGCCGTTATTCCGGTCCTCACTTGGCCTAGTTAGTGAAATCCTCGATTTCCACGTGCTCACACTTTGCGACTTGGCGGCTGCCAATGCGCACGTCACGATTCTGATGAGTCACGACACTTTTGACCTCTGACGGAGAAGCCCAAGCACTCAAGGCACTCTCACATTTAGTAAACTAAGCCTCGCCTGGTTCGTACACCTATCCCTGCCTTGGTTAAAGAAGGCACACTACAGTGAGAAAGTGCTGTCGGCCTAAAAGAACTTATTTGCTTCGATGGAGAAGAGTCTGCAAACTGTCACCGACGCCCAACGCCGCTGTGTGCACATGGGACAGCCGTCATTATCACACGTGGGTTTTGTACGTGAACGTACAGCATATAGGCACTGTAGGAGATCTGCCTTTCCACTTCACAGTGCCTTTGTTTTTACAACACTTTCAGCTGCCTTGAAGCAATTGTTGTTCTTCTCTGTACCCATCTGGCAAGGATATTGCTGTGAGGGAGTTCTGAGAGCGAAGAACCGCAGGCATTCCCGCAGGCGTTTCCAACGCAAGACAAGCGCTCTGACTGGTAGGCTTCATAGCAAAAGAGCAGGTACAAGAACTGTAGTCTGCATTACTCGTAGAAGAAGACGCGCAGGGGAGATGGAACGGCCGAGACGCGCACTACACCAAAAAGGTTCGCAGACAGCAACACGAGAAGAGTACGCGCAAATCACAGCCCTCATGGGAGGGCATGAGAAATTTAAGGCCAAACGGCAATCAGTGTTCGCTCTTCGAAATGCGCTGCGGTGTATCAGCGTGCCAGAACAACTCCGACGCACACTGAAGTTAAATCAAACACCGACACAGCCTAGAAAAAGGAAGAATAATATGCATACAGGGCTAGGTTAGCTGAGCTTCAGGAGACCGCTTTTAAACTCACATAGCGCGATTCCTCAACGTGCAGCCGAAGTGCGCTGGCAATTCCATAGGAAGATCTTGAAATCAGGGAATCGTCCATCTAGACGAAAACAGAGATAATTATACTTTATTTTAATGCTAAATTTGAGCTTTCTGGCTGCTTTGAGACATTCTGAAAGAACACGCTTAGCACGTGCTCGTGGAGCTGTCTGTTTCTTCCCCTGTTGCAGCCGCCGGTGCCCAAGAGGCTGCACCTTTCGCGGCAGAAAAGGGGCACCGAGATGTTTTTTCGTGTTTTGGCGCAAATTGTATCTTTAGAAATGTATGATATTTTATTTTCAGTTTTTTTTCCGGGCCCTTATTCCTCCTCCCGACGACGTGAAGAGACAGAATCGATCCCTGCCTCTAAAGGAGCACACTTCATGGGCTGTTCTTGGCGTGGCTGAATGAAAACGAGAGCTTGATTACTGAATGTATATGTTTTTAATAATTAAATTTGCATAGAAATTTTGCTAATCGCTTTACTTGGTAGCTTCAGCGCCGATGTTTGGTGGAAATCCAACAGCAGCTACAGCTGCTGCCAGCACGCTGACTGTCAACGATGAAGAGAAGATACCTTCCACTGAAAACTCAGCAAGCTTCAGGTACCCTGGCTCAGCAGATCCAGAGGATGGGGAACTAGTCGAAGACAGTGCTGATATGAGTACTCGAACATCCTTAACAGCGCACCGTAACCAGCCAAAGTCACGTTTCCGATTGCTCTTTGTGACGGCGTTGCTCATTGCTTTGGTGGCAATGGCTGTGCGCTTTAACATCAGCAGCATGAGGATCCGCAAGTCCCAACGCCATCGATTAGGTTCGGGCGGTGTGGGGTCGGCGAAGGTGACCTCAGGAAGCGTCTTGACGATGGAGGAAACTCTGCAGCTGGAGATGGAGCGACTGCACTATCGGTGGAACCAAGCCAACGAAAGGGTCCAATATGCTTTCATTCATTTCTTCTTTCCTAATGCAACGAATTTGGATTCACGACGTGGTCCCACGGATGTGATTATTGAACACGTTGGAGCCCTGATGGACCTCCCCTGCCCCGGTGAGACGGACCCATACGTGAATCGCAGGGACTACACACTGAAGTTTGCGCTGGCTAGCAGTATTGTGGAAGCGATGATGCGGCGATTAGATTATTTAGAGCTCAGCTTTGATCTTTGGTCGAAACACGGGAATTCTTATTCGGTGCCCGACTTGCAATTGCACGCGTCCATCCTGCTTGGCGCCGAGCTCGAAAGGCAGCCTCATGTTATGCCCTTCAAAGAATTTGTTGCAAGCCTGGGGCCCGCGTACAGTGGGTTCAATGACACACTAAGGAGCATGGAAGAAACTGCAGAAGCAACCAGTCTGCCTACAGACATCACGGAGCCCCTCAGACATATGATCGGACAAGATGTCCAAAGAAACCAAGCAGACAATATGATACGATACATCTTTTCTTCTTTTTTCGACGCAGTGGATGCCGCAATTGTGGGAACCAGAAAGTTTCAAGAAACAGCAACAGAAGCAGAAGCAGCTGCAGCACAAAAAGGGCTCACGGAGGTTACGCTGCCTTCCTCTCAAGCTCCTTTTCCTGTAGAAATATTTCGAGAGGCTCTACAGGAAGCTGAAAAGCACGCAGTGGGGCCTGTGCCGCTGGAAACGATAAAGGCGTGGGAAGAGACGTGGACCATAGAGGGCGGTCTGTCTGCACTACGTGAAATAGAAAAAAGGCAGGTTTTGGTGCGCGAGAATGCAAATAAGCTGGCAGAGAAGTATCTTGCCAAAGTGAAAGAACAAGACGGATTGGACAGAGGAGAAGATGATGTTTTTTTCATAGCACTAAAGTTGCTTTGAGGGTGCCATACGCTCTCGCGAGAAGTGCCGGTTCAGTGCAACAATTTTTCTATCGCACTACTCATTACTGGTGGAAAATTTGCAACAATTACGGATGAGGCACTGCTGCATTCTATGGAAGCAGAGGGGGAACAAGCAACAAATAGGCGAAGGCACACTTCTGCACAGGCAACTGCTCAGGAGCATATGACAAAATGTAATGTTGTCATATGCTCCTGAGCAGGTGCCTGTGCAGAAATGTGCCTCTGTATCCTTTCATGCTGGCTCGGAAGAGCCGAGCCTATGTTGCATGTGTGAATACATCTGCTGTACAAATCGATACAGCTTTTGTTGCTTTAGTGTTGCCATACGGGTGGGAGAATGCAACGAAAGGCCAATATGCACCCAGACAGTCTGAAAACTGCAGGGGAGAACAGAAAAAGAGAAAAAGATAGACGTAAAGGATAGCACAAGACAAACTTTGGCATAGAGGAAGCCAAGTGAAAGTCCTGCGGAGGTAGAAATGGAGGATAGCACACGACAAATGACCGCGGGAAATTCAAAGAAAGCAACGTAGGCAGAGGACAGAAAAATAGGGAACTAGACTTGTACTGTCACACGAAAGTATTTAATGAGTAGAGGCAGATGTTTCCGCACACATTCGCACCGGTAATTCTGCGCGCACTACTTGTTTTTTGTACTCCAGCCCCAACGTGCACTCATGAGTACTATTGAGCTTCATGAATGCTTCTCTGCGCACATGTAGGGCTGACGGCAACTCTGTTGAAATGGACACATCTGGCCCCTAAAGGCTCTATTGTTCTAATGTATGATCATGTTCATGTTTTCATGATCTCTCAGGTTTGGATGTGAATTCATTACTACATATTCTCTGCTTCTTTTTTCCTAGTAGCAGGCCAGCAGCTACCACGCACGCATTTACTTACTTTGGTGCATACACTGCAAAAGCTGCGGCTATTGCACGCAATTTACAGTATTACCTGCGGCGTACAACGCAGATATGTGAATAGAAAATTTTCATTATTCGCGTATTTATGGTGGTCCCTGCATGCAAGGCCCATGCGTTTTTAATTTCATATTAACTCATAAATAGGTAAATTCCTCTACTTTGTATAGAACACCCTGAAAACATATAGGCGTGCTTTCCCCGCTTGCCTGTGTAAATGAAGTGATTATGCGGTGCCTTCTTACCAAGGGAGCTTGTAGTGGGAAACATTGTGAAAAATAGTGCTTGCAGCCGTAGAAAATGGCACTTCAGGTGTAAGAAGGCCTCCTCATTTTGTCTATCTTCTTCCGACTGTTATTAGAGCGAGCATATCGACTGCACAGCAAAATGCACTCATTCAGTTCGGCGCCAGTGAATTATATGCAGCGGTGAAGTGCGTCAAACAGCATATGGGTGGCTCTACACGTGCACATTGCAAGGTGAACGTCACCAAAGGCAGCCTAAAAAGATTGCTAAGCACCTGCAAGAATGCTTTGGGATGCATGCTGTCCACGTCTATTTTACGTTTGGGATTCACTTTAAACTTTTTGCGTTATCCTCGTTGCGTTACTGCATCAACCCGTTGCGATGTCATTGTAAGGTGCTACACGGCAACACACGCGGGTGCTTCTGCCTTCTGCCTTCACAAAATCGGTGGACGCGTACGACGCGTGGTGAATTTTTGGGCGAATGGCTTGGCAGAGAGTAGCTGCCGAAAGGAAAGGGCTCGAGGTGGCTTAGGCCGTTGTTGTGAAGTGCTCTTGCCCCACGTCGGTGGAAACACGAATCCCGTTGTTAGCTGGTAGGTGTGCAAGTGCTCCAGTTTACCCCGCCAGTGAGACTCCTAAACTTCCCATGCTGATGGTTAACGTGTCCTCATGTTACTTTCTGTTGCACCGTGTTGGGCGATTTATTTGGTGCGAAAAAATCGAGTGTGTTGAAGTGTGCGCATTTAAGAGTGAACTGTTCTTCCATTGATTTTGGAGCGTCAGGTGTACAAAAACAACGCTTCATGCTTCGTCATTCACTGTTACGGAAAGGGCTTTATCAACAATGTCGCATTGATTGCTGTTGTGTGCTACAGACGCAAAAATATGAAAGGAAGCGCAGTGCTTGTTCGCAAGGTGCAAGTGTATCAAATGCATAAATCCGTGCAATTATTCCTGACCAACTACCGCTAACATAACACTCCAGATACAGGTGTCCGGTACGACACTCCAGATGTCCGCGCTCGTCACACCCGGCCAGTACACTCCGTCCCAATGTAAGCTCGTACTGAAAAAAAGCTTTATGGACAAGGTGGCTCGTGGCCGCAGAGTACTATCTCCCTCGATCATGGGAGGATGAAAAACGTTTGACTCGAGTTATTTGAGCACTGTAATCTTGTGAGGAAGCTGCAGTGTTGATTTTGACGCGCTGTCTTCAAGGACACGCAGACTACATGTCGGCGGCAGCTATAGCTATCATACTTCCGTTTGATGCGCGAGCAGCTGTCTGACGTGACAGAGTTGCTCTGTGATACGTCACCGTGCGTGGTTCACGTTCCGCAAGTATGTTGAAGAAGATGGTATCGAGCCTGCGCGTTTCAAATCGCGCACAAAGCTGGAGTTCCCTGTGCAATGTAAAGGAGAAATCAGCTAATAAGGGACTGTCATACATACGCCACCAATGCGATCACGACATATCCGCTCCCCAACACGGATCATTTTTTAATCAACGTGGGCTGCTGGAAACATCCTTTTTAGAGTGTAATCGTACCTGCAGCGCGCGTGGCAGCAGCCGTCCATGCGCTGCTGTAAAAGCCCCGGGCGTATGTTTCAAGTCTGTAGCTGACCAAATGATGAGCGCTTAAGGCACTTCTTGCATCTTTTGGACGTTCCCCATCCTCACGGTGTAGCCCGGACGTGAATGCAGACGACTCTAGAGTAAGTTATCCAAGCATTTGCAGGCGTGCGTTTGATATAAGGTTGTGTCAAGCAGCTTGGCTTCTAATATGCAACAACCTTTCCGCGCCATACTTAGGGGAAAATGCTATTTCCTTACTATAACCCTTCTCTCCTGAGTATGTGCGCAAAGCAGCGTTTGTCTCGCGGCTGATTAGTCAAGGAAAGCTGCCCCCCTGGAGCTTCTCATTTATGGCATACTCACTTGCAGCCTGCTGCTGGGTTTGCCTCGCGCGGTAAAACTGCAACGTATAAATGGGGATGGCAGCCATGAAGGGAAAAAAGCCACCTAGTCTGGCGCCAGTAATTTATGTGTGAGAGGCAGACTCTGCCAGACTGCAGCATTGTACTCTATGAAATTGCGCGTTTCTGTTATTCAGAACACATGAAAGAATGCACTGTAGAACTTTGTGCACTTGCGTCATTCGGTTAGCAAGAAGTACAGAAACAAAGGATAGCTTGAATAAATTTGCCGCCATGTAAGTAGTGGCACTGGTGGACACAAAGCAAATAAAACCTCTTCCGTGTATTCAGAAAAAATCATGTTTGTGCTTGTCACTCGCACCTGACTCCTCAGCATTTTTCGTCTTCAGAAGTTTCAGCAAAAATGCAAATCAGTGGAAGGTGCAGATCCACCAAAATGCGTCTGCACTAGTGCTGGGCGACCCCCAATTTCTAAACTCTTAACCTTGTTCCAAGCCGCGACCCGACCCTACACAAACGTGTTGCACAGAACCTAAACCCTCAACTGGCTTGAACCGACAGCTGCAATGGCCTAAACCCTGAGGTCTGCTAACTAGACATCCCCTTCACAGTGTGCCTTGACTCATTAAAAAGCGAGGCAGCAGAATCACGCAGCTATTGAGCTGCGAGAACTATAAATAGCATTAACAAATGCCAGAGAGCAATGACCATGTTGAGCATCTAGAAAAGGTTTGAGGAGGAAATTATATTCGGCGCTGTTGCCAGCTGATGAAATTTCAGAAAAGTGGACTAAAAATGAACAGTCAAACCAACTGCCGAGAGAACCGAGCACTACACGAAGAGTAGTAATGACACTGAGCACAAAACCAACAGAAGGACGGGAAGACAGCAACAGAGCAGGGAAACTAGTTATTTCTTTGGAAAGAGGGGGAAATAAAAAGGGCAAAGGCCTAAGAAACCCTTAGACCGTTGCCCAGTTACGCAACACTGGCTTCTCGCCACATTAAATTAGCGCAACAGGTGCACATGCGAATGTTCTCTACGTATCTGAACATCTACATTGCATTCAACCAATTCTAATACTTACTGAAGCCATCGTTAGAAATACCATAAGCATATAGGTATGCTACTGTGTCTAGTGTGTGTCCATACGTACGCATGCATAAAAATATACATGTTGCACATTGCCCGAAGAATATATGTACGTTTATATGCATTTTTGTCGTATATACGTGCATACACATACACATATATAAGCAAACATACCTAGACATAGCATACACCTTTATTTAAGCACATATGTGTATACATGTGTAGATACGAACACATTCATTAACGTGTTCTGCGGGTGGTAATAAAAGCACAGACCTGCAACTGCGGCAAGTACCAAAGACCGGAGCTAGGCGCACGCCTGAAGAAGCGAGAAGGATACGAAACACCTAGACGGAACAAACAAGTAGTACCCTTAGCAAGCGCCTGCAGTACGTACACCTGAAAGAACAAGCGCTCCGTGCGACAATGCACGAATTCTCCTTGTTCTTTTCTTCCTTCCTTCTGTTGTCTACGGGACGTCTCGGCCAAGCACAGTCTCAGCCCACTAAATGGGCAACCAGTTGAATTAAATGCGCCGAAATTACTTTGCTCAAGAAACACTACTGGCTCGCAGCACCAATTAGAGGAGCGATATGGCCAGGGTGTAGAGGTCGTAGAGCGGCGCGACGTTGCCTGGGGTGGTGTCGAGGCCCGCTGCCACATGTTTCATGCTTTGTCTCTCTTCTATCCGTTTCCTCTCTTTTTGTTCAAACGAATGCAGCAGCGCCCGCACCCCGCTCTCGGTCCATCTCTCGTTCCAGCTGCCCACCACCTCTGGAGGCAGCACCTGTTGCCTAGCCCAATTGTCGAAAGACAACACCGTGTCGCTGAACAAGTCTGTATGGAACGGCCGGCGCCCTGGGGACATGGGCACAATCCAGGCCTCTCTTTTGCCCCCTTGTTGGCTCAGCAGCCGCTCGTCGAGCCTGTCAAGCAAAGCTCGGAATATGCTCACGTTCATCAGCTCCTGAGCAACAAAAAGGTCCTCGCGCCGCAGCACGTTTGCGAGGCGCACTGCCAGGTGTTTCGGCACCACTGGTGTTTCCCCTGCCTCAGTCTCCGAAGCACTGAGCCCCTCATCTGTTTTGCTTTCGGGTTCCCTCTCTATCATGCTGGTGGGGCGGCCTGCAAGGAGCTTGACAAATCCTTCGAAAGAGACGGGTGCCTCGTCCGCCCCAGCGCCTTCCCCAGCTTTGCTGCTGCTGCTGCTGATGCTGCCCCAGCTGCTGCGCGTGCTGCGGATCAGGGGCTCGGCCTCCAGGCCGAGCAGCTCAGAGCCCACGCCCGTCATTTTGCAAAAGGTCTCGAGGGCAGAGAGGGACAGCAGGCGGCGGCCAGCTGCGGTGTAGAGAGTGTTCAGCAGCTGCAGCCTGAAGGCGTACATTTTCTTTTCGGATGCACTGTCTGCCTCCTTGGGCCTGCGAATTGCGCTGAGGGCCTCCGCGTGCCTCTGGAACAGAGCCACTGGTGCAGGCAGCACCACTCCAGGCTCGACCACTGGCAAGAAGTGCTTCGAGAAAGCCATGCGGGTGGTCTCCGAGACCCCGCGCCAGATCTTGTCCAGCTTGTCTAGGTTCTTGCCCACTTCTCTCTCGTACTGGTCAAGGCTAGACGCGTCGCAGGCTATATCCAGGGGGAGTTCCTCTGGCCTCGCTGTGGAGGGGGGCTCTGCGACCAAGTTGGAGACGTGAGGCATGGGGCCCACGTGGGCAACGGGAATTCCAGAAGCGGTTCGGGGGCCCCCTTGGGGCCCCTTGAACTTCCGCAGGGGCCCTGACGGGAGCGGTTCGACTCCGGGCTGCAGAGCCAGCTTAAGCTTTGGCTTGGCTTTGGAAGGTTTGCTGTGCTCTTTGGGGGTGTTCACACTCAGCGAAGACGCCTCCTCTGCCTCGAGCGACGCTGCTGTTGGCGACGGGGGGGCTGCATCTTCTGCTCCTGTTGCTGCTTCCACTAATTCCACGCCTTTGAGGCGGCTCCTGTCCTTGCGCTGCAGCAGCCTGTTCCTCGCCGAAGAGGCGGCCAGGAACGCCCACAGAGAAATGATCCCCAGAAGCAGCAGGCGCTTCAGCCTCTTGCGGCTGCCCTTAACAGGCTCAGCGGAGGCCCCCGGTCGAGTCTTCTGGCCACTGTGCAACGCTGTTTCGTTGGTAACAGTGACTGAGTCGGGGCTGCCGACAGGCCACGCATTGGGCACTTTCCAGTAGGGCGCCGACAAGTGGCCCCCGTATGCTACGCTGGGAACCCTTGGAGGGCTCCCGTGAAGAATATTTGTATCGTCTGAAGGCGTTGTGTACTGAAGTGTCTCTTCGTCTGCTGAGAGCCAACCAGTGTGCGTTGTGGGGGCGGAAGAGGGCACGCCCCGCCACACAGGCCCCAGGCCATGCTCTCTAACGTAGACGCCACTAGCGCCCCTCTCGGACTTATAGGGTGCCGCCGCCTCAGTAGAATGTCCCATGGTCTAAGGACGCCGCCTCGCTGTTCCGCGCCCTCTCCCGGGCCCCTGAGGCCGTCCAGGTCCTCTGGGGACTATGCCTTGGAAAAACGCATTTCACCATGTGCGCAAATCCTATGTCCCAATCTGGAGAGGATCTGCCTTCATCAAGCCCGGAGGAGTTTCAGAGGCTCAGCGAGAGCTGCAGCCAAACTGCCGCCCCACATGCAGGTGGTCCTTTTCACACAGGGTGAGACGCTATATTCTTCCAATTATTCGTATAAAGTTTCTCGTTGTTTCATATTGCAACTCATTTGTAAACTTGGGTCGCGTAGGCTCCCCGAAAGAAGACGCGCAAGGGGACGCTGGCAGCTTGGAACAAGGCCCAGGAGTTGACGGACAATGAGGATGGATGCTGTTTGCTCGTGCGATTTCTAGCCACCTTTTCACTTTTTTTGCATCTGGGCTTTTTTTCTTATTTTTAGTAGTGAAAATATTGACTCCTGATGCTTTCACGAGGTCCTCTGAGAGAAGAGCTACATTGGGCCGAATACGTCCTCTACCCGAATCGAAAACTAGATAGCGCAGCTGCCAGAAATGAATTTATTTACTTTAGTGAGGGTAAGCTGAGTGGTGTTCGTGAGGAACATGTACGTTTTCGCTTGTAGCGGAGCAAGAACTTGCGGTGTAGTGCTGCGCATCACAAGTCATCGCCCGTAGGTTTCAGAACGAATGCAGAACAACCTAGTTGCGGGCTGACCCAGGAGAAAAGACTGAAACCAGATATTACGCGAACGCGCGAACGCGGGCAGCAAAGAAAGAAAGTTAAAAACGCTGCGTGAAGCCGTCCAACGTTCGCCGTTACCTTCTTCTCTATATAGAGACTGCAGGTTGAAGAAACTCCATGACTGACAGGCAACTTAGGGCGTCGTTGGAGACTTATGAGAGAGCAATGGTTGATTGTGAAACCGGTGAAGTAGCAGCAGGGTCATCTAGGCGCCCGCCAACACTATGGGGAGAATTGCTCTCTTCAGTGGCCCAATTTGTTCCTTCAGGGGTGCCAAGTAGCATAGAACAAATTCTGGCGAGTTGGCGCTTCACGAAGTAGCCATCGCTTCCTAGTCCCGACGATTTGTCATCTTCACTGCAGCATCTATTATCATTTCTTGGCTGTTTTGGCCTGCAACATTTCAAGCCGTGATCTCTAGGCTTTAATGGAAGGTCCGTCCGCTGGAGGGCACCCCTCTCTAATTTACTTTTAATTATTTCTACGGGCAACTCCCCTCTCAAGCCACGGCATGTACAGGACCCATAGACAGGACTGTCCAACAGTACTGCCCTCTGAGTTCCTCAGGCCTCAGGCACGTTGTTAAGGAGTCTGCTGTGCAACTGATTAGCTTGCAACACTTTCTTCGAAGGTCGTGCCTGCGCTTTGTAAGTGCATCAGAAGACTGCCTCCCGTATGAAGTCCACAATTTAGTAAAGTGCAGTAAAACCTGCGAGCCCCTATTTTCAAGATTCTTGCCTCCTTGCTTTCTGAAGAGTGCATTCCTCACTAACGTCGTTAGAGGGCATGGCAATAAATCGGATTTTACCCATGTTCCCCCCATGAGAATGCCATAGTAAACATAACAAGCCACCGTCACTCAACTGGACCTGCTCGTCAACACCAGCTGTTTCCGGCAGTGAACTGACCTCTAGGAAGAAGCAGGTGCTGCTGGCAGCTTCCTCAAACGCGCTGTAATGCTATCAGCTAGGACGGCCGTGTAACACCCTCTACGGCGCTAGCCACAGCAAATTCCAAGTTTTTCGGCCCTTCAGCACCACTAAAAGGTGAACTATACCATATGCTAACGCCTTGGCACACGCTGCATAAGCATGCACGAAGCCTAGTGGGAGTTTATCACAAAACGCACCGCAGGGCCGTCCTCGTCTCTCCCGCAATATCAGCAAATGGCAGAGTGGGAGAAGAGAAAGTGACGAAGTTGCAACGAACTGCACAGCAAATCCGGAGGCCGGAGCGGTACTTGCATTCGCTCCGTTTGTCCTTCTATGCTGAGACTAGATGTGTTTCCTCACACGCTTGAAACACAAATTAGACACTTTTGGTTCTTGTCTTGAGGGCAAGCGGCAGCTGGCTCGCCTCTAGCTGCAGTCAGCTATAATGTTTCTCCTAAATCGAGGTAGGCTAGGGTTGACCTGTTCAGTCATCCGCCGCTTGGTAAGCGACCCTACAGCTCCCGTGGCGCCAGCCAACACAGCTACCTGAGTAGCTGCGATAAATGAGCGCAGCTAATTGCCTTGAGGTCCCACCACCTGCGCGGTCCTCAAGGCCAGGTGCGTGACAAGCCGCGTGGCTAGCTGTGATCATTGCGCACCTTTGTCTGTGTTAATGCGAATTATGCTGCTTTCAGGGGTCAGCACTTCGTTCTCACCAACACGTCGGCCGTCCGGCAATTCGGCGAAGAGGAAATTGCGGGCAATTGCCGGGTGCAACAAATGAGCGAGCTCGCCGACGCTGAAGTTCACACAAAAACATGAATTCAAAAACATAAACGTACTTTCATAGGCAGGCAAACAAACCCAAAATCTAACGCAGAGAGATGAAGGAAAGGAGCAGTGCTACGGCAGGGATGCAGCAGAAACAGAAAATGACTGCGAAGCGCGTTCGCCACAAATATCGGAAGCCCGCATGCGCCACGCTTATATTCATTCACTAAATGCTGCTGTATGCTTGGCGTTGCAAGCGCGCATGCATTCGCGTCTACTGATTGGCGTGAAAAGTCTTCTGTGTCAGTCTCTGTACGCAGTTCTGCCTGGGCGGGAGCCCTGAGAGATACTACCTACACGCGCTAATGTCGCGATAGGCTCAAATATATCTGTAAAATTGCATGTGTGAAGCCTTATATGCATTTAAGTATGCACGTGCACATGTAACGTGGATACTACCGGGGATATGTCTATATGGAAACACATGTGGCTTGCGTGTTCATGTAGGTCTGTGCCTAAACCGATGACGCAGATCGAGTAAAAGCAGAAGACAGAGTACACAAAAACACGGAATAATATAAAAAGAAAGCATTCTAGTAGCGCTTACGTGGTTCCCTTCTTAACCAGCATACACTCCACAAACGGCCCCCTTCCCTTCTTGTCCACGGCGGACAGCTGCAACGTCTTCACCGGATACACCGCCATTCGCTGCCCTAGGACCTCTACAGCAACTCGCAAGGCCTGAAGACAATGGGAAGGCGCAAAGGTAGAGAAAAGTGAAGTTCCACCAGCACCAGCTACAGCCAACACAGCAGCAGCAACAGTAGAAGCAAGATCGTCAGTAGTAGTCTCATAAGCAGCTGAGGCAGCGAAACGAGTGCCCGCAGCACAAGAAGCAGCGACAGCAGCACCTGCTTCTACAGCAGCTAAACAGCAGCAGTGGCAGTGTCATCATTTCCAGCGCCGCCACCATCCATTTCCAGCGCCGTCACCAGCCAAAAGCAGCGCCAATAGCATAAGCAGCAGCATCGCCAGCAGCACCAACAGCAGCAGACCTCTGCCACCCCCGTCCCTCCATGTCTGAAGAGCATGAGATCCCTAACTTTCTCCAGTCTATGGAACGCCTTAGGGTCGATTGGCTTCAGGGTTTTAATTAGCTGCTGCTGCTCCTCCTTCAGGCGGCTGCTTCCCGGGCCCCGCAAGTCCTCGCTGCAGTACGCCGTGCCGCTGCACGGGTCGTATGCTATCATTTTCTACACACAGCCATAAGCCTTAAACCTTTAGCCCTTAAAACTCAGCCCTGACTTCAAATTATCAAGAATATACAAAGCCGAAACCCGTGAAGAGCCCATCACAAAAGATCCCATTTCATGTGCCATCCACAACAAGTGCTCTGATTGCAACTGGTGAGAGCGGGGGGGAAAGGCTTGTGATTAAAGGTTTCCAGATACGCTGCCATCCGCGCAGCAAAATCCTAAGTCCTAAGTCCTAGAAACAAAACCTTAGGGCCTGAAGCCAAACACTGAAGCACTGTATTCCATTGGCCATTTCGGGAGAGCTGCATGCGTGCTGCTGCCTCTGCTCTTTCGCCGGCTGTTGACACTGCTGCTGCAGCTACTGCACAGGGCACCTGCTGCAGTGCAGCTGTTGCAGTGCTTGACTTGGCCTCACCTGCTGCTGGAGTTTCTGCAGAAAACACTCTGCGAGGGCACTTGTCAACACGAGAGGGCTGTCCCGAAACTTGCTAGACAGTCGCAAAACGTTTTTGTCCACATCGCCCCCCTGCGCAGGCCCCACACATGCGATCCCCATCCCGATCCTCGCTAGAAAGCATCAATCCCGATCCCACTTTTGAGACACCCAGCAGCCCGATCCCCCCAATGGCTTCATCCTGACCCCGGCATGCACTCTGCTGGCCCCACATCTCCACGATCACGATCCCCACGCCCCACAACCCGCTCTCATCCCGATCCCGGTCCAGTGGCTGCCTCACAGCGTCGCATTTGTTGAGGACCAAAACAAAAGGAAATCGAATCTTCACAAAAGTCTTCACCTGCAGGCACCAAGCAAAGACAAGCCTGTAGACTTAGTTAGAAGCCAACTGTTCAAGTTCTAAAGCCTTAGTTGGAAAACAATTGTTTAAGTTCCAAAGTCTTTAAAAGTTCATTACTGCAGCTTCCAGTTTAGGGCATTCTAGTTTAACGAACCAGCTCCATAACGTCTTCGGAAGCCCACTTGGTGAGGTCCTCCGGCAGAAGTGAAGCGTCATCTGTTGCTCGTGCTACCGCTGCTCCCGCAGAGACTCCTGCTGCTGCTGCTGCTGCTGCTGCTGGAGCTGCTGCTTCCTGTAGTGCCTGACTGCGCGACCTCCTGCTGCGGTGCAACTCCTGCAGCACCGCAGCCACAAGTGTCTGGGGGGCGCCGTAGCCGCTGAACTGTGCCGAGAACGTGTCCAGCAGAGAGCTGCAACAGCAACAACAGCAGCAGCAGTAGCAGCAGCAGCAGTAGGGAAAGACCACGATGGATACAGAGCACTGTAGCAAGTGCAGGCAAGCCACATGGCGCTTGCGTTGCTGGGGATGCTCCTGCTGTTGCAGATCGCGGTGATCTACGCCATAAGCGACAGCAGCAACAGCAGCAATAGGGGGTCCAGCAACAAGGGCGGCAGCATCAGGATAAGCGGCAGCAGCAGCAACAACTCTCGCAGCATCTTGACGTATCGCCTGCACATCTACTTGAGCCAAGGCTGGGAAGCCCCAAACGCCACAGCAGCAACAGCAACAGCAACAGCAGCAGCGGCAACAGCAGCAGCGGCAACAGCAGCAGCGGCAACAGCAGCAGCGGCAACAGCAGCAGCAGCGGGTCACCTGTTCGTTGCCGCGTGCCTGCGAGCCACAGATGTCCACTTTCCCCAAATGTTCTTGAAGATCCAGAGCTCCACTTCGCTCAGCAGCCACTCGTGGTCTGCGCTGGGGTCGTAGCCCGTCGTGGCTTCCCCCTGAAGGAGCAGCAGCAGCCGCAGCAACCGCAGCGGCGGCAGCAGCAGCAGCAACAGCAACGCGTTTCCCACAGCAAAAGTTGCCAGCAGCAGCCACAGCAGCACGAGCGTCACGAGCCCATGCAGCAGCATCTCAGCAACAAAGCAGCAGCAGCTGCAGCCGCCGAGGCGTCGACTCAGCAGCCTCTGCAGCTCCGTGTGGTGACCGACAGCAGCCGCTGCAGCAGCAGCAGCAGCAGCAGCTCCGTGCCTTTTCATTGGTGGTGCCTGAGACGTCAATTATGTGCAGCAGCACATCCGCCACCCGCAAATCGTCAAGAAACTTGCAGCCCAGGCCCCGGCCTTCGCTGGCCCCCGGGATAAGGCCGGCCACGTCCAGCAGCCGTATGGGCACAGAGCGGCGCCCCGAGACGCAGCGGCCGTAGCGGGGGCTGCAGCCCACGCCGTACCTGCAGCAGCAGCAGCAGCAGCAGCAGCAGCAGCAGCAGCAGCAGCGGCAGCAGCGCAGTGCCAGCAGCGGTGCAGCGGCTCGCTAGGAAGCAGCGGCTGCGCTGAAGTTGCCAGCGCCGCAAACAGACGCGCCAGCTGCAACGGTACGGTGGTTCTCGCCACCCGCAGCAGCAGCAGCAGCAACGGCAGCAGCAACAGGGCCATTAGCAGCAACAGCGACGGCAGCAGCAACATGGCCATTAGCGGCAACAGCAGCGGTGGGAGCACCACTATGGCCATCAAATCTAGCACCAACAGCAGCAGCAGAAGCAACGAGAATGGGGGCAGCAGTAACCGCTGCAGCAACAGAAACGGTTGCTGCAGCTACAAGAGTACCCAGAGCCGCAACAGCAGCAGCACCCAGCAGCAAGCAGTAGCAGCAGCAGCCACTCACTTTTTGCAGGGGCAGTCTGTGATGTAGTAGCCGATGCCTTCATTGGGAGTTATTGTAGTGAAGGGGTAACTGCCCACTTTGGCTGTTGAGCCCTCTGTGGCTGCGTTGAAAAACGTGCTCTTGCCTGCACAAACCCTAAACCCTAAACCCTAGACCCTAAACCCTAAACCCTAAACCTTAAACTCTGGAGCCGGGAGAGAGTATCCATTCGAGTTATCGACGGATACACTTGGCAGCGACTGCTCAGACGCACATAGACGCTGCAGTTGTGTGCAGGCCTCAGCAAACCCTAAATCCTAAGCCTTAAATCCTAAACCCTAAACCCTAGCCCACAAACCCTTGTACCCACAGCCCTACAGTCTGAGCCACTGGACCTAGTTGCCTCGACGGACCTGCTGAGGGTTTACCCACGCAGCCAATTATGAAATCGCCTCCCATGCTTGCTTGTTGCTTGCAGCAGCAGCAGCTGCTGCTGCTCCTACTGCTGCCGCTGGTGCTGCTATTAGCTGCAGTTTTGCTGCAGTAACTGCAGTCGCTTTTGTTTCTGCTTCCGTGGCTGTTGCTGCAGGCGCTTCTGCTTCAGTATTGATGCTGCCGTTACTGCTGCGGCCAGTAGAGCTGCAGGCTTTGCTGCTGCAGTTTTTCGTTCCAGAGGTGTTTCGACTCCTGCTGCTGCGGCTGCTGCACCGTCTGCAGCATTCAGTCCGCTCAGCTGCTGCTGCTGCCTATGGCATTGCTGCCTCCGTTGCTTCGCTCCACAAGGCTCTTGCTGCTGCCTCTGCTGCTGCAAGTCAGCTCTACAGGCGTTGCTGTGGCTGCATTAGATAGGACTGAAGCTAAATAGCTGCACTGCTACTGCAGCAGCCAGTATCCAAGCTGTTGCGGCTGCATCGAACGATTAAACAAGGTACTACAGCAAACTGCTGCAGCTGCAACGGGGCCCTCGGGGGCCCCAACAGTACCCTCGGGGGCCCCACACGCTCCCGCTCCCCAAGGCGGAGTTACATTGTTTCGCTAGGCACAAATATATTTTTTATTGCAACAAGTTCTACTTACTGTTTAATGTAACAGGAAGGTGCCTTAGGCTGCTCCGCCCTCCCACATGTGGGGCCGCGGTGACAGCAGCAACAGTGACACCAGCAGCAGCAGCAGCAGAAGCAACTGCGCAACACAAATGTAATTGCAGCGGCGGCTGCGGCAGCAGCACTAGAGCGAGCAGAAGCTCCAAAGAGGATCAGCCGGAAGAAGATGAGGAAGGCGCTAGCTGGAGCAACGGGCAAGCAAGCAGTCGAGCAACTGTAGCAGCGAGCAGCAGCAGCAGCAGCGAAGGCAGCAGCAGAAAAGGCAGCAGCGGCAAAGGCAGCAGCAGCAACAGCAGCAGGATCGGCAACGGGCAGAAGTACGGGGTCGCGATGCTCTCGGGGCAAAGCAACAGCAGAGCGAACAGCACCAACGACAATACCAGCAGCCTCCCCTGAACAGCAGCAGCAGCAGCAGCAGCAACACAATGTACACCAGCGAAGTCAACTTGGCCTGCGCGTTGCTGCAGGATGCCTTCGGCCCTTACGTGTCGTCGGTGGGTCGGCAGCTGCTGCTGTGTCGCAGTCTGACCTTCCTAGAGTTGCGCGACTTGCTGCCCAGCAGCAGCGGCAGCAGCAGCAGCTCAGCAGCAGCAGCAGCAGGTTTTAAGGCCAAGACAGCAGCTGCAGCGCATCTGCAGCAGGGCCGAGACGAAGACTATTGCATGCTCAGAAACGCGCTGCTGATCCTGCTGCAGCACAACTTGCTGCACTGTACTCCCCTGACCCCAGCTGGCGGAGCTCTGGGGCCAATCACAGCAGCAGCAGCAGCAGCAGCTGTGCACGCTGACGCAGCAGCAGCAGCGGCAGCAGCCCAAGCGCAGCAGCAAGGGTCTACCGGCAACAGCAGCAGCGGCACCAGTGCAGGCACCAATAGCAAAGCCAACTGCGGCAACGTGGCTGCTGCTGCTGCTGCTGCTGCTCCTGCTGCTGCTGCTCCTGTGCAGCCCCACGGCGGTGTCCGCTACAGCCTGAAAGTGCATGCAGCCCTGGCGCTGCTGCGCTTTCCCCAGTTTGCTGCCATCACAGAAGAGACCTTCGGCAGCAACGCGCGGCTGCTGCTGCTGCAGGTGCTCAAGGCAGGGCGTGTCTGCATGCAGGATGCAGTTGCCCTGGCCTTAGCTGACCCGTGTGAGGAGCCTGGGCTGTTGCTGCTGCTGCTGCTGCTGTTGCTGCCGTTGCTGCTGTTGCTATATTAGTGCTGCTGCTTCTGCGAAGCTTCGTGCGTGCTGCTGCTGTGCTGCTGCACCGGCACTTTTGCTGCTGCTGCTCATCTGCTGCAGCTGAGAAGGGGCGCTGGCCGCCACTTACTGCGCCGGTGAATGGGTTGTTGCTGCTGCTGTTGCTGCTTCTGCGGCTGCTGCTGCTGCAGATGCGAACCCAGATGGCGATGCTGCTGCTGCTGCTCAGCGGCCAACCAGCCGGCAGCGGCAGCAGGACCTGCAGCGCTGCTTCCTGCAGCTGGTTTCAAACGCATTTTTAGTTCAGTGCGAGCCGCCTCTACCTTCTGCGCAGCAGCAGGAGCAGCAGCAAGACCAGCAGCAGCAGCAGCACACGGGGCGCAGGCGCAAAGCCGAGTCCAAAGCAGCACTCAGGAAGATGCCTTCGAAAACAGCCGACGTTCCGGTGCGGCGCCCAGCCGGTTGCTGCTGCTGTTGCTGCTGCTGCTGCTGTGGGTGTCTGTGTAGGCCTGAGCTCGTGGATGCTGCTGCGGCTGCTGCTGCTGATGCTGTGGCTGTTGCTGCGGGTAGTGTTTCTGATGCCGATGCTGCTGCTATTGCTGCTGCTGCTGCTTCCTGCTTCCGCCCCTCGTACTGCGTCGAACCCAGGTGCAGAGGGTGCTGCTGCTGCTGGCGTTGGCGCCACCGCAGCAGCAGCTGGTCCCTGCATTGCTTTTGCCGCTGCTGCTGCTGTTGCGACTGGCGTGGCGACTTGCCTTGGCTCTGCGGTGTATGTACACCTCAGGCCTACACAGCCGAGGACTCGGACGAAGAGGACGCAGAAGAAGACAGCGGAGGCCTCCCGGGGTTTTTGCTGATGATGTTGGGTGAGAAGCTGCTGCTGCTGCTGCTCTCGCTGCTGCTGCTACTTCTTCTGCAGCTGCTGCTCGTTTTGCTGCTGCTGCTGCTGCCCCTGGTGCAATGGGTGTTGCCGGAGCTAGACCCATTCTTCCTTCCACAGCTGCTGGCAATACTGTTGCTGCTGCAGCCTGCAGAAGTGCTGCTGCCACTGCTGGCCGCCACTGCTGCTGTCAGCTGCTGCTGTTGCCCGTGCTGCTGCTGCTCAGATGAGGCAGACCCTGCAGCAAAGGCCCGAAAAACAACCCCGCCAGGCAGCAGCAGCAGCAGCAGCATCGGCAGCGCTAGACAAACCCAGAAGCAGCAGCAGCTGATGGACAGTCTTGTGTCTCGGCTGCAGCAGCAGCGGGTTCCCTTTCAAGTCAACGCACCGTTCATATCTCTGCTGCTATGCAAGAAGGTGAGAAATGAGTTTTGCTGCTGCTGCTGCGCGTACTGCTGCTGCTGCATGTGCTCCTGCTGCTGCTGCTGCCTTGAGGGCCTCCGTTTTTCTTACGCCAAGACGCGTGGTAGCAAACCCGAACAAGCGTTCCTGCTGCTGCCGCTGCTGCTGCTGCCGCTGCTGGTGCTGCAGGCTGTGAAGCAATTTGTAGTCGCGCGCGTAGGAGACACTCGGCTAGTCCAGGCAACGACAGCAGCGCTGCTGCAGGCAGTCCGCCTGAGGCCGCAGCAGCAGCGGGGCGTCGAGGAGCAGCAGACCAGCGCCCGGCTAGATGTGCACTGTAGTACGCACTATGTTGTTGTTGCTGCTGCTGCTGATTCATGTGCCGGCTTGTGCTTCTGCTGCTGCTTCTCATTTTTGCTTTTGCGGTCGCTGGCTGCTGCTGCGATGACTAGCAGCACGAGAAACAGCAAGCCAGCGCGCGACTGGGTGTACACTGCAGTGCGGCTCTATGTTGCTGTTGCTGCTGACGCAAGGGTTCCTCTTGCTGCTGCTGCTGCTGCTCACCTTTGCTGTTGCAGCTACTGGCTGCTGCTGTTGCTGTTCACGGCCAATTTTATGTGTGGTGGGCTGTCGCTGCGCAGAGTGGCTAACGTTCGACGCGTTGGAGGCAGCAGTGGCAGCAGAGCTGCAGCTGCAGCAGCAACAGCAGCAGCAGCAGCCTCGAGTGTCTGTACAGAAGTCTCAGCTCATTCGGCTGCTGGACGGACTAACCAAACACCCAGACCGCCTGCTAGCCACAGTGATGAAGGGTAGGAGCAGCAAATGAGTCTTTAATGTGGAACTGCAGAGACGAAAAAGAAATAAAGGCGGCAAAAAGAGAAGCCCCATATGCGACAACTTTGCTGCTGCTGCTGCTGCTGCTGCTGCTGTTTGCTACAGACGGGCAGGCTGCGTACCGCCTCGACTGGCAGCAAATAAAAGCGCTTATGCAGCGCCGCATTATGTCTGAGTGAGATCAGTTGTTTTTTCTGCAGCTAATTCGTCTGCTGCCGCTGCTGCTGCTGCTGCATATGCGTGCGCTGACGGTGCTATGTCCATTCATATGCGCACGTACACAAAAATTAGCCTTAAATTGCTGCAGCTCGCTGCTGCTGTGCTGCTGCTGCTGCTGCTGCTGCTGCAGGGCTGTGCTAGCTCGTTGTGGGCCTAAGGCGGCTCGCGTGTGGCGGCGCATAATAAACGCAGCGGAGGGCCCTGGGGCTGCAGTGGTTTACTTTGACGAGCAAATGGTTTGTCTTTGACTTTTTATTGCATGCAAAGTTTGACCTTAAATAGTAGTTAGTAGCCAGCCAGCGCCTTTGCTGCTGCTAGCCAAGTCCTTCTTTAAAGGCGCACTTGGAGACGCGCAGCGCTCTCTCTCGCCGTTGCTGCTGCAGCCGTTGCGTCTGCTTCTGCTGCCATTGCTGCTGCTGCCGCCGCTGCTGCTACAGTTTTTGCTGTGTTGCTGCAGCTATTTGTGTTTTTCGATTCTTTTTGTGTTGGCTGCTTTTGCTGCTGCTGCCTCTGTGCTGGCTGCTGCTTCTCCTTGCATGTGGTACCTTTTTCTGCTGCTGCCTCTTCTGCTGCTGCTGCAGATAGCTGACAGCTGCTTGCTGCCACCGAGCGGCGCCCGGCAGGCCATGTACTCTCTTGCCCTTGCTGGATTTGCCCGCTTTCATGAGTCGGTAAGGAGGCCTTAGGTAGCGGTCGAAACGGCTAGCTAGCTAGCCATGTGCCACAGGGTCTTTTTGCCAGCTTACAAGGCGCTGCTTGTTCTCCCAGCTAGCCAGCGAGCTGTGGCGGCGGGCTAGTTAGCCACGCTAGATAGGTGGCCGCAGCTGGCTGAAGAAAGAGCCAGCGAAGGAGCTGCGGCTCCTCTCTGCGCGCCTGGCAGCATAGCTAGCTGCTACTAGCTATCTGGTACAGTGTCTTGCTGCACCACTTTGGGGCTTTTGCTGCTCCCTGCATGCGCTGCAGGACCGGCTGCCAGCTAGCTGCACTTCTCTGTCTACAAAGCACTCGCTGGTGATAACTTGCAGCCTCGAAGAGACGCAGCAGCAAGTGGCTGACGTCGTGCTTCGAGCAGCACTTAACTTGCTCGAGAGAAAACGAGCCGAGGCACAACACCTCGCCGAACTCAGATGCAGGTCTGCTGCTGTTCCTGCTGCACCAGTTGAACGTGCTGCTGCTGCTGCTGCTGTCGCAAGCCTCCTGCTTCTTCTGCTGCTATCTCAAGTCTGCGACGGCTAGTCTATGGCTGGTGCTGCCGCTGGCTTTGCTGCTGCCCGCGCGGCTTGACGTAGTGCTGCTCTTGATGCCGTTGCTGCTGCAGCAGCAGCTGCTGCTGCTGCTAGTGCCGCTGGCCCTTCAGTCCACTCTGCGCGTTTTGAGTTTTTAATGCTTTGCTCCGTGCAGGACTCAGTGTCTGGCAGACACTGAAATGCAGCAGCAGCGCCTCAGAGAAGCTGCTGAAGACCTTTTGGACGCAAATGTACTCAAGCTAGGAGAGCCACTGGCTATCCTAATGGACATCTAGGGGGCCCTAAGCCAGGGGCCCCCTATATGTCTTTGGCTCCTGGCTAGGGCCCCATTTGACGAAGCGTTCAAAGCGCAGGCACGGGGGCCCTATTTTGGTGCTGTGAAATGGGCCCTCAGCTTGCGGGCTTGCGTGGGGTCCCCCACAGTGGCTCCTAGTGGCTCTAAGACCCTTTCTTGGGCTGGAGTCACTGTAGGGTACCCCAGGTGTGGGGCCCCCCAGATGTGGGGCCCCCCCAGGTGTGGGGGCCCCTCTGATGCTGTTCATACTCTCCAGGAGGCCCCAGAGACCTCTTGGGTGCTTCGAAGTTGCACTCTAGTGTGTAGCCAGGGGAGCCTGGAGTTCTCCTCGTCGCTCGCCTTTTTATGTCTTTGCTTGTTTTTGCAATTACAGAAAGGAAATTCCGAATTAATTCACTTTGGCTGTCACTGGCCTTTGTAGCCGCCCCTGTGGGGCCCCTCCCTGTTGTGTCTGACTGCGCTGTTTTGCTGCTTTCTCTCTCCCGCTGCTAAGCAGCTTTGCTGCCTCTAAGTGCCCTTCTTGTTAAGCTTCTCTGCTTCACCTGCTGCTGCTTCTCCCCTGCGTGTCTGACTGTCACTAACACTCCTTTGCTCTACCCCCGTATTCTTGCGGGGCCCCTCACAGCCCTTACTCTAAGTAACAGCCAGCTTTCGAGTCTAAGATGGGGCGGGCTCTCTGTCTGTGTCGATTTCACCCTCTCGCGGCCGCCCCACTGCAGTCTTCCCTCCCAGTTCCTGAAACGTAGGAGCACCAAGGGGCCCCCAGGGGCCCCCGCAGGGGACCCCAGGGGCCCCCAAGGTACTATAAGGGCCCTTTTCTGGTCCCCAGAGGGCCACCAAAGGGACCTAGTGACTGCCCCCCTTATGTGTAACTCTTGGGGGCAGGCTACAAAAGACTCAGGGGGGCACCCCTGCGCCCCAGTCGCCTGCTGGGCTCGCTCTGCGTTTACATCTTTCAAGGGTCCCTGACAAGAAGGCATTTGGTGCCCTTTCGTAGCAATTTGCAGCACTATAAACAAGACAAGCTCCTAACCCCACAGAGCATGCCATTACATAAATGCATGCATTACTTGAAGCCAGTAATGCATGCATGCATTACTGAAAGCCAGCAATGCATGCATGCACTACACCACAGTCAAACCCCGGTCAGTCGTCACAGGCCACTCACTGCTGTGGCAGCGAAGGCGCTGTAGGGGGAGGCAGCACAGTGGGGGGTCTGATGACATTAGGCGCTGACTGGAAGCCCTGGGGGGGCCCCTGCGGAGGCCCCTGCGGAGGCCTCAAAGTTAAGGGCCCCGGCATAGCAGGCATGGCAGGCATGCCCATAGGACGAGGCCCTGGAGCCATTCCCACTTGGGGGCCACCCCCTGGACCTCCCAAAGGGGGCATACCCATTGGCGGGCCCCCAGGGGCTCCTCCCATGGGGCCCCCCGGGGCCCCTCCCATGGGGCCCCCCGGGGCCCCTCCCATGGGGCCCCCCGGCGGTCCCGCCATGGGTCCCCCAGGCGCCCCTCCCATGGGGCCCCCCGGAGCTCCTCCCATGGGGCCCCCCGGGGCCCCTCCCATGGGCCCCCCCGGGGCCCCTCCCATGGGGCCCCCAGGGGCCCCCATGGGGGGCCGCATGGGAGCTGGCATCCCAGGAGCTGGCATGGGGAAGGCCGGAGGCCTTGCCGGAGTCGCCCCCGCTGGCACTCCTGGGGGGACCCCCGGCGGGCCCCTCGCGGGCCCCGAGGGGGCCCCCATTGCCGGGGGACGGGCAGGGGGCATTGAACCCCCGCCTGGCATCATCCCCACGCCTCCGCCCAGTGGCATAGTAGGCACAGAGCCGGGGGCCCCCCCCATGCCCATGGGCGCAGCAGAGGGGCCCCTGGGTTCCCCCGGGGCCCCCACGAGGCCCCGGGGTGCCCCTGCCATTGTGGGTGGCAGCGGCAGGGGCGGGAAGGGCATACCTGGGGAGCAGCAGCACAGTAGCGCAGCAAGCAGATTAGACGCAAGCCTAAGTCCCCTCACCAGCAGTCACAATGGCAGCAGCAGCGGCAGCAACCGCAGCACGCTCCAGCGAGCGTTGATAGCACACTCCAGCAGCAGCAGCAGCAGCAGCAGCAGCGCCTCACCTGGTCTTGGCATAAAGAAAATAGGGGGAGGCGGAAGGGCCCCTGGAGGCCCTGAACCCATCATCGGCAAAGGCAGAGGAGGCAGGGGGCCCCCAGGGCCCCCAGGGACCACATTGGGCATAACTCCAAATGCTGCACAGCAAGACACAAAGGCTTTCTCCAACAGTCTTGCACGAGCCACAGAAGCAGCAGCAGCAGCAGCAATAGCAGAAGCAGTGGCAGCAGCAGCGAAAGCAGTACGTGCGAGAGCGAAAACACCAGCACCCACAACAGCCTCAGTGACAGCAGCACAACAGCACCTACGAGGTCCGCCTCCGGCTTGCTGCTGCGGCTGCTGCTGCTGCTGCTGCTGCAGCGGCACCGGCCCTTCCTTTGGTGCATTGGAGCCCCCAGGCCGTTCTACCGTGGGACGGTTGGCTGCCAGGAGACGTTCAGCAGCAGATCCGTGACGCTCGCCTGAAGCAGCAGACGCAGCAGCAGCAGCAGCAGCAGTAGCAGTAGCAGCAGCAGCCGCAGCAGCATCGCTATGTGTGAACTTGCAGCGCAGCAGCGGCGAAAGCCATCAAAGGAAAGAATGCTGCAGCGATGGTGACGATGCGCCCCACAGCGTCAGCACCAGGAGCAGCATCGGCAGCAGGAACAGCAGCAGCACGAACAGCAGGAGCAGCAGCAATAGCACCAGCAGCAGAAGCAGCAGAAAAAGCAGCAACAGCATCACCAGCAAGGACAGCAGCAGCAGTCCCAGAGGTCTCTTGCCCACAGCAGCCTCATCATGACCACCAAAATTACAACGGCAGCGTCAATCCCAAACTCATCCGCACGAGCAGCAGCAGCAGCAGCAGCAGCAGCAGCAGCAGCAACAGCAGCAGCAACAGCAGGCTGTACCCCGCGTGTCTTTCTTGTACGCGTAAGAAACGTGCACAGGCCGGTTGCAAAGAAACTGCCCATTCATTGCTGCCAGTGCTGCATCCGAGGCCTCAAAAGTCTCCATCGAGACAAACGCAAAGCCCTTCGATATGCCGGTTTCTGGGTCCCGCATCACCTGCAGCAGCAGCAGCAGCAGCAGCAGCAAAAACGACGAGCATAGAGCAAAGAAGAACTACCAGCCCGTTAGCGACGGTGCCCCAACAGCCTCACCAGCAAAAGCAGCAGCAGCGCTAAAATGAAAACCGCAGCAGCAGCAGCAACAGCAGCAGCAGTTATGGCAGCAGCAACAACAGCAGCAGCAACGACGCCAACAGCAACTACAGCAGCAGCAACAGCAGCATCGGGAACTACAGCAGCAACTGCAGCAGCAACTATAGCAACAGCACCTGCAGCAGCAGCTACACCGACAGCAATTACAGTAGCAGCAACTACAGCAGCAGCAACTGTGGCAGCAGCAGCTCTAGTAGCAGTAAGTGCAGCAGCAACAAGTGCAGCAGCAACAGCAAAAGGTGACCTTTGCAGACACAACGTTTCCAAAAGAAGAAAACGTGTCGAATAGAACTTTCTCGTCGAGGTCAGGGTCCAAATTGCCCACGAACAGATTCGCTCCGACCTGTACATACACCGCAGCGCGCAGCAAAAGTTCTGCAGCAGCAGCAGCGGCAGCACACAGCGCAGCAGCTGCAGCAACTCTCACAGCAGCCGCCCTCGCGACAGTAGCAGAAGCAGTTGCAGCCGCAGCAGCCGCAACTGCAGCAGCGGCAATGAGAGCAGCAACTGCAGCGTCAACTGCAGCAGAATCAGCAGCAGCAACTTTAGCAGCAACAGCAGCAGCAGCAACAGCAGCAGCAGCAACAGCAGCAGCTGCTGCTGCGTACGTCAAAAACCCTGCGGTCATGGGCCGCTTTGCTGAGACGCAAAGGCTTGCCATAAAGCTTGACCATCCCCATCAACTTTAATGCAAAATCTGCATCTGTTTCCGACTCGAACTCCACAAAGGCATATCCTGCGGTGTACGTACACCCCAGCAAACAGCCAAAACGTCCACACCGTCTGCGGTGTACGTACACCCCAGGGCCCCACAAACGCTGAGTTTCCGGGGTGTACGTACACCCGAACGCCCCACAAAGCGGCGTCAAGCTAAACACCAGTCCCCCCCAACTTCATTCACCCTCAAGCTGCAAAGGCTCTGATAATGAGAGTTTCGGAGTCAGGGTTTGGGGTTTAGCGTTTAGGGTTTAGAGTCTAGGGTTTAGGGTTTAGCGTTGGCCCTGCAAGGCAGCTCTGGCAATTAGCTAGGGGTCTATTCCAGGCAACTTTGGAGCAAAAGAATTGCAGCTAATCTACTCCTCGCCATACTTTAGTCTCGGTCTCAGTGCCGCGATTTAGGGTTTAGGGTTTAGTGTTTGGGGTTTAGGGTCTAGGGTTTAGGGTTTAGGGTTTACCTTGGTGTGCGCCAGTGACTTTGTCTTTGGGTATATTCACAAGACGCACAACTCCCGCTTGCGTGAAGAGCTCCCATAGAAGGTCTTCATCAACTTGTGAATCTATGTTGCCTACATAACTGCGCAGCAGCAGCAGCAGCAGCAGCAGCAGCAGCAGCAGCAAGGCACAAGGACGTTCGTGGCACTGCAACTTGCGCTTCTAAAGCTGTGATTACTTCTACGTCTGTCGCTGCCGCTCTCCCATTCGCTAGGGCGGAGTCTGCTGCTGCGTCTCCTGGCCGTCGCTGCTGCTGCTGTTGCTGCTGTTGCTGCTGTTGCTGCTGCTGTTGCTGCTGCTACTGGGACTCACAGCGTTGCCTCCTGGTTCCTTTCGAACACCTGCGCGATATCGGCGCCCCCTCCTAAGCCTCCCCATGGCCGCGCGGCTAGCATTGTGGCGCTGCTGTTGCTGTTGCTGCCGGTGTTGCTGTTGCTGCTGCTGCTGCTGCTGCCGT